ATTTACAAAAGATACTACTTTTTTTATCTGAGATACAGATAAAGATGTCATATATTTTAATTATTTAGATAAAGATAAAATAAAACAATTATCACATCTAGATGAACATCTAGATAATTTTATCTAGATAACGGAAAACACTGGCAGTTTGTGGGTTAATACACATGGCTATTCCAATTGAAAATTCAATTTGTAAATTCATATAGGATGCTCTTGATTTGCATCACGTCTGTTTATCTGTTAAAATTCTTTGTTAGTTTGAAACTACATGAGCCTTAATTTTATTGTTAATTTGATTAAATTCGCGCCGGTGAAAGATGATCTTACTCTCGGAATATCATATATTCAAGTATTGCAAGAGATATACCAAGTGTCTTGGTGGCTGAATTAGGAAGGCGATCGCACGGAAAGCGAAAGATTCCATGTTCGTCTTCTAGCCAAAATGTTTTTTCGCACAATATAATTAATAATTAAATTAGATAGAGAGAGGAAATGAGTATTTATCGTACACGTAATGCAAATCAAACATCTTATATGATTTTATGAATTGAATGTTTAACTCGAATAATCATGTATATTAATTGTTTACATTACTAAAAATAATTAAATCCATATTTATTCAGCACAAACATTCAGCGTTTCGGCCTTTACTTACTGGTTAAAATTCTTCAATTAGTTTGAAACTACATAAGCCTTAATTTCATTGTTAATTTGTTTTACTGTTTTTCTTGTATTATTTTTTTTGCATATTTTTCTTTTTTTCTGAATGTATTTTCAATATGTGTATTACATCAGTAGGAACTTCGATTTGCAGGTAAAATATTATCGCAATTGAAGAACCAACCACTAGTAACATGCTTCGCGCAGTTTCTTAAGCGAGCAAATTCTTGCATTGCCGCGATTTTACGAGACAGTAATGTGAGTACGAATCCCAAGGAATACGTTGAAGCAAGAAAAGAGCTGAAGTGGTACACGAGATTCGAGAAACTAGGCGAAATGACGCTTATAAATAAATTGGAAAAGTCCGAAGCCTTTTTCAAGAATTTGGAGCAAATTTCTTTATTACTGAAGATACACTATAAGTGGTTGCTAAAATTTCTGCACAAACTATTTGCGATAGCCAGAAAGTTTCCGAATGAGAAGATCGCTAACGAGATCGAACATTTGCTAGATATAGTGGATAATATAAACGATCAATTAGAGTTGGTATACGATCCTATGAAGAAGATATCAAAGAAAATTAAGAAGTACCTGATTCTTCCGTCGCCCCACTCTTCGGAGACGAGCATGAACGTGCATTTGCGATTAAGAACAATTGCAAAAGATTTCAGTGTGAGGGACGAAAGTGGCAACAGCTTGAAACGGGAGCTAAAGATCTTATTCGTGCAGCTAAAAGATTCCTTGATGATGAGATATCAAACGATTCGTCTGTGGTGCGACATTTATTCTAGAGAACCGATAGGCGACACTATCTTGCGGACTATTCTCGAGGTGGAACGATTTTGCGATGAGAGTCACATTCGTCTACGAGTACCTGTGGAAATTGAGAACGTGCTCGACAAAGTTTACGCACTTCCGGGGACAGAAACAGCGCACTTAAACGCGAAGATACAGTTGTGGCCGATTTACGAGTACATATTTTTGTCTTTTGCTTACAAGTTGCAAGGAGAAATGTGTCTACAAGGAACTAGTTCCGCCGCCATCTCGACGGAGTGTCTCGCGAAGTTCGCGGATGTGCCGAGTATACCGATCAATTTGATAAGTTTGTTGAACGTGATGGCTCGAAAAGAAGTCGAACGAAGACAAAAGACTTTGCTACTGCCAGAATTGTTTTGCCGACTCGAACAATTTACTCGACAATCTTATGCCGTCAAAGGTGCCAGCCGTCTTTTGCACTGGCGCGGCATTACAGAGAAGAATTTGGAAAAATCTCTAACTTTGTACTCCGAATCGAAGGTATACTAATAGTTTCAACTAATAATTATGAAGTTTTTGTGAATATTTTTCTTTCGATGGTTTAGTTATCTATAAAAGTTTTTTAATTAAAAATTCTTATTTACAAATTGTTTATGATTTTCTATTTATAGGAAAGCTATTTTGGTGGACCTGTCCTCTTAAATCTTGTACTGAAATTCATGTTACGCAAAACAAACGAAAAAAAAGAGAAAAATATTTTCTCTGTAGTTGAACTCGGAACATACACAGCGCAGATAAATCAACTACAGCTGCTAAATGAGATTTTATGGCGTAACAGTATCTTGTTAACAGACAAACGATACGATTTGTCCAATAGCGATCTGACAACCCTAAGATTTTACTTGCACGTATATTTAGCAGCAATTGACAAATTGCACACCGAGCACAACGTACCTGAGCTAATTGCGACCGCTATAAAGAAGCAAGGTGGAAATCTCGCAGCAGATATAGAAAACAAGCTGCGAATAGATTACTTTGAACCATTAGAAGAATTGCGCAAATCGCGCGATGAGATAGAAGCTATCAACAATGAAAATCTCATTAAGGAAGAAATTGCACTTCGACGGGGAAAAGCGTGGATGTTACTTGGTTATATTCAGTTACAATTTTTTGGAAATCTGGATATAATCGATCCCGTGCATAAGGTTGAACTGAAACTCAGGTATGTAGAGGAGGATATTGTTGATTGCAGAAGAACGATGTACGTCACAACGTTGCAGAATCGTATTCTAGGAAGGTCTTCAGAAAACAGACATGCTCATCCGAGATTTAAAGCTATGAGAGATTTCGAGAGGCAGTTGCTAAAGACGAGGAACGATCTTAGCTGTATGAATGCGTTTAGACCGCAGTCCATCAATTTTACCTCACTCAGTAGTGACAGCTCAGATTTCCGGCACAAAGTAGGATCTTACGAACTGGTGAAGAAACACCTGAGCCAACTATACGCAATTGCGAGCAAGATTGCGAGTGAAAAATACGAATTAGCCGACTTCAAAGTTGCGGAAATCGCTTCTCGAGAAGCAGAAAGCTGGAGTTTGTCGGTGCAACGATTCGCCGAACAAATCGAGGAGAAATATCTGTCGGCTTATCCAGACGTGATTCTTCCGTTAATGGCAGCTCTAGCTCAGGTGAGCCATGGTGTTGGCATACTGATCAACGAGATACAACGACTAATATCTCTACGTAAGAAAAGAGTCACCGATCTGGATTCTTTAATACATAACCTTATTCGATTTCCTACAATCGATCAACAACAGGAGAGTCTTTTGAATCTAAGTGATTTGTGTGTTGCGAGAAACATTAGGAATCTGATCAATGAAAGCTCATGTTCCGTGGATAGTTTTGTCAAGATACAGGACCAATTTCGGATGTTGAAGTCTGGTCTTTATGAACTATATAATCATGTGATTCTTAATCGAGGTCTGACACAATTGCTATGGCGAGACCTGAACAAATTGCTTCAGCAAATAGTTTTGATTTGGAAGCAACAACAACAAGAGGAGGAAAAGCGAATTGCGGAAAAAAACAATCTATACAAGAACAAAATCGAGAACCATGGTAATGTTTTAACAGAAGAAGAAGAACTTACTCTAGAAGTTCGCGAGATGTTTCCTACATATCGCGAGAGAGACTTTTATGATATAGAAGATGATTTGGAATCTTCTCTTGACCGAAAATTGAAGAACGCGTCATCGGAGCCAGACGAGACGCAGTCGAGCTTTAGCGGTCTTATCACTAAAGACGATATCAGGGAAATTCAGAATATCCACTCAAAAATCATTACGTCCTTTACTGTGTCTAAATGGATACGCATCGATATTACTTCAATCCCCTCAACAAATTATGTCGAGCCTTTAACACAGAGATATTATATAGTGCACGGAATGCTCGATTATATACTGCCGAGTTTAAGCGAAGATCTCGCTATCAAGCTGTATAACAGTTACAGCTTCTTGGTCACTTTGGGTCTGCAAGAAAATCGAGGAACAGATCGAACTTTATGGAAGAACATCAGAAAATTAGAAAGAGTATACGATTTTTACAAGGACAGTAACGTCGAGGAAGCGAAACAGTGCTTGCCTTTGTGTGAGAATATCTTGAATCGCATAAATCAGTTATTGGAACAATGGCCGGATCATCCCACTTTGAGATCAATCCGATGTATAATCGAAAGGATGTATACGTTCTCGATTACGTCACCAGTCTCCAGATTTTTGACCGGTTTAGAATTGCTACTCGTCAAGATGCATCAGTGGGAAGAGAATGCTCACAAAGGTGTCAGTCTATCCGACTACATTCTAGCGTTGACAGAGCAGATAATATCGTGGAGAAAGTTGGAACTGTCTTGTTGGAAAGGCTGTCTCGACGCGGCGCACGAAACTCTCAAGTCGGACACATCCAAATGGTGGTTCTTCTTGTACGCGTTGATTGAGAGTTATATCACGAGATTTGCGAGAGACGACATCAAGAAGGAGAATGACGAACCTGTCACCAAACAGAAGTTGGTGGAATCGCTAGAACGTTTCATGAACGAATCATCCCTCGTAGAGTTTGAATCGCGATTGAATTTTCTCTTGACATTCCATTGTCATGTATGTTACTTCGACGTCAGCGACGACAAGAACGAGATCCTGGCCATATTGTGGAACATGTATAATTATTACAAGCAGTTTGTGGACGACGTAAATACAAGAATCGCCGCTTTAAAGGCTCCTATTGAGAAAAAGCTAAAGGACTTTGTGAAGATTGCGAGATGGAATGATATCAGCTATTGGGCGGTAAAAGAAACAGTTGAAAAAACGCATCGTACTCTGCACAAGTTTGTGAAGGAGTTTCAAAAGGCCTTGAAGCAGAACGTATCTTTTTGTTTGGCCGTTAAATCGGAATCTTACAGTACAGAAATGAGCAAAGGTATCTGGGATGATCAGGATCATCGTAAGTATGTGATCATACCTGAAGATTTTATCATAACTAAATCTTCAGGTACTGTAAAAATGGAAGTCCTTTTTACCAGTGGGCTTATTACAAGAACAAACATGCTACTGGAAAAAGCTAAGTATTTGTGTAAGGAAATAGTCTTGACGAGTTCGTATCCATTTATACGGTCAGAGCTTGAGAATCTTATTGGAGATTTTATGGAGCAAAGTGCGCGTCTTCGGAACATGGATATCGACAGGAGTCTGCCGAAAGGCAAACAGAAGTCTCAAGCTAAAAGTATACTGCAGCAAAAGAAACTGACGCTTGCTAATTATTTCAAGGAACTGCTTCAGTTGGGTGTATCGTATCGCACTGGAGTATTAATATTGAAGAATGATATGGATAAAGTGATAGACTTCACAATATCTCCTTTAGATCTGTCTGTGATCAATCAGTATTTTAAGCTAAGAAACATAGATCATCATATGTTGATGCAGTGGCAGGGTTGTGAAAAGTATTACTACAAGTCTCTTATCAAGTTGAACGCCCTTAATGCAATGCTTAGCACATGTCAGACTGATTTAGGACTGCAGAATATGGAACGTTGCAGAGGATTTTCTGCACACATGATGTTAATGGCTCATAGACAGAAGAAGACTATAATTCAATCATTTGAATGCTTCTCGTCGCTCCGTATACAGATCTCGAATTTGACCGAGACACGTGAGGAAGATCTCAGCATGTCGAAGCAGCGCGACGGCCAAGATTGCACGGAGATCTTAAAGACTTTGTTAATAACTTTAGAAGCTGGATTCGAGCAACTGTTGCTATTTCTGCAATGTTGCCCTGTAGAATCGTCGACGGATACAAATAGAACTGTTCTCACGTTGGACATAAACGCGCTTCCTATAATCGCCGCTTGTCAAAATGACGAAGTATGGAAGAACGCGAACACTCTCTTAAAGGACAATCTGGATTTGATAAAAGTCACCGCAAAGCGTTTTAACATTTTATTTATGGCATTCAAAGTATTATCAGTAAATCATTCCGAACATTCCGTTCGTACTTCGTTCTTGAGTTCAAAGCACTTTGAATTCCTCGAGCAATGTCGCGTGACAATCGAAGTTGTAAGGACACGAAACAAAGAATTGAAACAACTGTTTGAAAACTCAGACGTTGCGCATCCTATTCAGGAAAGTATAATATTCTTGGATACAAAGATGGAATGCTTCCTTAATAAATACAAAAACTTGCGTAAAGTTGTAGGAAGTAAAAACGGCGAAAAACAATTAAAAGTAAATAATGATGCTGTTAAGCAATATGAATTAAGTCTCGAACAATTAATAAACATGATATTGCTTGTTATACAAAAGAAATATAAAGACCATGTTAACGTGAACGACGAAGTGACAAATGTGAGAGAAAAGTTAAATGAAGAAAATAACGAAAACGATAACGATATGGAGGAAGAAATTGAAAAAAATAGACTAAGCAAAAAACTGATTGAATTTTTGGAGAAGGACATAATCGAATTGAAACTGTCTAAGATATATGATTTATTTTTCAGTCTACTGCTATCGATACACGAATTTGATCTCCAATCAGCAAACTATTGTATCAGGTAAGGAATCGTTTTATTTATATTTAAAATAATTTTTTTCTTATTATATAATACAATTGCACTGACAAATGTTATTATTATTACATGTTATTATTTTTTCAGATTGCTTTTACAATGCTTACCACTGCTAGAACAATATATTTTTCTTGTTCAGTTTTATTTAAACGAGCAAGTAGCAGCGTTCCGTATTACATGCAAAATGTTGTATCTACAATTAAATGTCTTCTTAGACCTGGCTGCGAATGGATTCTGTAATCCAAAAGATTTAGATCTCGAAGAAGGTGAAACCGATGAGTCGGGTGAGAAAATAGAAAAAGGCGGGATGGGTTTGGCTGATGGTGAAGGAACGAAAAACGTTTCTGATAGAATAGAATCTGAAGATCAACTTGAGGATACAAAATCTGCGGAACAGGAACAGGAAAAACAGGATGATAAGATTTGTAAAGAAGAAGAGAAAGGAATTGAAATGTCCGAAGATTTTGACAGCAAACCTCAAGATACAGAAAAAGGCGACGATGATAAAGAACAGGACAATGATGAAAACGAAAACGATTTGGATAAGGAAATGGGCGAGACGGGTGAAGGCGCTGAGCAGCTTGATAAAGAAATTTGGGATGATGATACAGAATCCGAAGAGAATAGCGAGCAAAATGATAACGAAGAGGAAGGCACAAGTAAACAAACCGATGAGAAGATAATAGGTGCGAAAGATGATAGAGACAAAAGAAAACATGACGATGACGATACGAGTGAAAATAGAGAAGAAAATCAAAAAGAAATAAATGAGATGGAAGAATCAGAAGTAGACGAAGATCAGATTAACCCCTATCATGGTAAGTTTGATCCTCTGCCAGAACCCGAACCATTAGACTTGCCAGAAGATATGAATCTGGACGAAGACGGAAAGGAAGACAATAGTAACGAAGAGGAGAATCCATTTGATATTGATGAGATGAAGAACTCTAAGCCACCGCCAGAGAAAAAGGATGAAACATTTGAAAAAGAATTCGAAAAGAATAAAGAAAACGATTTCGAAGAAGATTGTAGCGAAGAAGAAAACGACAATGTTGAAGATATAAATACAAATGGACAAAAAACACAGGAAGAGCCCGAAACTAATAAAGAAACTGAAGAGAACAATAGAGAGAATGCAGAAAGTGAAACGAAAAATGAGGAACAACAGCAGGATGAACTAGAAAAAGAAAAACTACCAGAGAAAGCAGCACCAAGTGTCGATGACGCAAGTAAGGAAATAGATGCTGCGTCACAAGTTGAGGAAACAATAGGAGGTTCACGAGATACGGTAGCGGAACAATCTGATAAAGATGAGCAAGAAGCATCGGCGGATAATACTCAACAGAATAACAACGATAAAGGCACTGGTCAATCACAGTCGGCGCAACAAGAAAGCGGACATTCCGGATCTTCTAAGCAGGAAGCCACTCCAATTTCGCAAAAGAATACCACAGAACTAATGGAGAAGAGAAAAAATTTAGGTGAAAAAAACGAGGATCGTAGTTTGTTAGATTGGATAGAACCTGCGTTGAAGAAGTTAAAAACAACCTTTACAAAGGATGAAATACAGAGAAACAAGAAAGAGGAAGACGACTCGGGCAATTCTAATACGATCGATTTAGCTCAACACATCAAAGATTCCGAAAAATTCGATGATTACACACTCGACGTTGCGACAGAAGATCAAGCCAGGGAACAAGCTTCAAATATTGAAAAAGAAAAAGAGAATCAAGATGAAACAAAGAATGACGCCATGGATATAAAAATGCATGACGATGAGGAGAATATAACGCATGATGAAGTAGCCAAAAAGGAACTTGAAGTTTTTGAGGAATCCGAGACTGCTGACAACAAACGTAAAGAAATTAATGGTAAATGTAGCAATGTAAATGTAGCAAATGACAGTCAACCGGAGGAGACTGAAGAGATCGAAATGGAATTGGAAGAGCGTGAAACTATGTTAGTGCAAAGAGCACCCGAGACTACATTCCACACGATGGAATGGAGCTTGGAAGATGTTGAGTCTAGTCATGTGGAAAACAAACGTTTTGAAGTGGAAAAAATGTTAAGTGAATGGACGCAAATGCCGTCCACTAAAGAAGCTGCAGCTGCATGGAATTATCTATGTTCAATCACGGATTCTGCTGCTAGAGATTTATCGGAGAAATTAAGACTAGTGCTAGAACCTACACAGTTCTCGAGACTTAAAGGAGATTATAAGACGGGTAAACGCATTAATATGCGGAAAATCATTCCTTATATAGCTAGCGAATTTCGCAAGGACAAGATATGGCTCCGACGCACAAAAGCTTCAAAGCGCGATTATCAAATTATCCTCGCGTTGGACGATTCTCGCAGCATGATGAATAATCAGTGCAAAGAAATGACCTTCGAATCTTTGTCGTTAATCAGTAAAGCTATGACGTATTTAGAAGTAGGAAAGCTTGGCATTGTAAGTTTCGGAGAGAATGTGAAGGTATTGCATCCTTTGGGAGAAACTTTCACTGAACAAAGTGGATCTAGGTATCTATATCTTTATAATACACCACACACATACACACACAAATTTTTAGATTAAGTACATATGTAATTTAACAATAAGAGGATAATAATTTACATTTATAATATATATATATGTAAAAAATATATATACATGTTATTCTTAGTTGATATTTATATCAGTATGATATATTTGTATCTAAACCAGAATCATTACAGGTTTATTAAATTTGATTTAACATAAGAAAGATTCTGTTAATAATTAATAACGCAAAACTGAATAGACATCTTATGTTATTTATCATTTTTCACAGAATAATACAAGAAATGAGATTTAATCAGGAATTGACGAGAGTAGCTCAGTTGCTCGATTTTACAATAGATATGTTCGAAAATCAGCGTGCTTCGCTTGATCATGCTAAGTTGCTGGTAGTATTGTCGGATGGTAGAAATGTATATGCTGATGCAATAAACACAGTCAAACGTGCTGTAAGGAGAGCCAGATTATTAGACATTTTCCTTGTGTTTGTAATAATTGACAATCCAAATAAAAAGGTAAATTTTTACGTTATTATTAGGCTATATACAGTGCGTGGCAAAAGTTCCGGAATGGAAAATATCTCTAAAACTAATGACTTTAGAAGAAAACGTGAAATACAAAGTTTTTAAGAAGTTAAATGTTCTATTATGTACAAAGGAGTGCACCATATTGTGCGGTTCCAGAAGAAGTATTTCTTAAAAATTTCTCCTTCGGCTGCTCCTACTACCGCGCGCGGTTATCCTTCGATCTCGGGCCGCTGGCGAAGACTGAAAGCGAACGGCGCGCGGTAGTAGGAGCAGCCAGAAGAGAAATTTTTTCCGAGAAATATTGGAGCCGCGCGATATAGTGCATTCTTCTGTAGTTATACTGGCTTGATTTTGAAATGACTCTGAATAACCTTTATAAAGATCAACTTTGAAATTTTAAATGGAACCCTCTATTTTTTATGATACATTTGTAAAGCTGACGCCAAGACATTTTCAAAACACTAGTTATAAACCTTTATTCATGAAATATTACATAAGTTACGGATCTTCATGGTTGTGTGGGCGCATAGTTGGCTGCGCACGGAATACAAGGTGGGACAAAAGTCTGGATACACCCTCATAACTTTTGAACGAATCTAGATAGAAAGTTGAAATTTGGAGAAGTTGTATAGGATCATGAAAGTTATTTTTTGTGCAGGATGACATCCACCCCCCACCTCCTTAAGGCACAAGGGCGGGAGTGACTTAAAAATCTTAAATGACACGAAACACACGCGTGCGTGAAACGGAGAGGATTTGGAATCACAAAATGTATACACACACACACACACACACACACACACACACGGGTGTCTGATAACCGTCCTCACCGTAGACCCTGGGTAACGCAAAGAACGGTAACGCAATAAACAAGGAAATGCAAATTTTTGTTTTATGATCATAACTTTCGATTGGAGAGTCTTAGCAAACTTTCTCAAAAAACATTTTTTTCGTTTTTAAAACACCTTTAAAATGAGTTCTCAGGTGACCTTTTTCATGCCATTTAAGATTTTTAAGTCACCCCCGCTTTCGTGCCTCAAGGAGGTGGAGGGTGGATGTCATCCTGCACAAAAAATAGTTTTCATGATCCTATACAACTTCTCCAAATTTCACCTTTCTATCTAGATTCGTTCAAAAGTTATGATGGTGTATCCAGACTTTTGTCCCACCCTGAGCTGTATTCCGATTCCCCACCCGAGTGCATCCGAGTGTCATTTTATCTTTGTTTCATATCTAGTGATTGATAAAGATAAAGTATACCCGGGTGAGAAATCTGAACATAGCCCTGTAGGTATGCCGTGCGCAGCGTTGTCATTATCCATAATGTACTGCACGAAGATAAGTGCGCGCGCGCGTGTGTGTGTGTGCATGTATGTGTGTGTGTGACACAGGCAAAGATCAGGACTTTACAATTCGTCACTTCTGTGGTATTTAATGATTCCAAACCTTTTCTGCTATATCTATACGGGCCTATATAAATTATTTTCGTGTACATTATCACTAAACACGGTCTTAGTTGGTCGTTTAATGTTATCAGATGTTTAAATTGTTTTCCTTCAACAGTTTGTTTGGATTTGAAGTCATTAAATATTGCGGAAATGACGAACCGTAGGTCCTGATCTCTGTCTGTCACATACACACCTTCACGCAGTACATCATGAGTAATAACAATGCTGCGCGCAACAAATATGAAGGCCCAAAACTTACGTAATATTTTATGAATAAAGATTTATAACTAATGTTTTGAAAACGTCTCGGCGTTAGCTTTACGGATGTATCATAAAACATGAAGGGTCTTATTTTAAATTTTAAAATTGACCTTCGTAAAGATCATTCAAAATCATTTCAAGATCAAGCCAGTATAACCACATAATAGAACATTTAACTTCTTAAAAACTTTGTATTTCACGTTTTGTTCTAAAGTCATTAGTTTTCAAGATATTGCACCGTTCCGGAACTTTTGCCACGCTCTGTGTGTGTGTGTGTGCGCGCGCGCGTACATATATGATATTACAAAGTCGATAATTCGATTAATGATAAAAAAATTTAATTACCAATAAAAAATTAGGTATTAACGAATTTTTTATCTTTTTAGGACTCAATACTGGATATTGTTTGGCCTGTATTTGATGGAGACCAAGTAGTAGAATTTAAATCCTACATGGACTTTTTTCCATTTCCTTTTTACATACACGTTAGAGATATGAACACATTACCAGAAGTTCTGAGTGATGCCTTACGTCAATGGTTTGAATTAGTAGGAAAAATTGATATTTAGATGAATACATATAATTTTATTAATAAAAATATAATGTTTAAAAGAGGTTTTTAAGTATTTTTTCTTGTTTTATGGAATTTTTTATATAAAGAGCATATTACCTTGAAAAAACTACTACACAACACTTATAAAAATTTCAAATTTTAAAGATTGCGAATGTTGTTTAATATAAAATATATGTGTATGCGCGTTCTTAAACTTCACATATATTTATTAAAAACCTATATATTTATATATTACATAATACATATTATATATAGATTAGAAAATTCATTTTACTTTGAATTATTCATCAATACATCAAAAAGATTATAGTAAAAAACTTATATGGGTGATTCTCTGTGAACACGTAAATTTCAACTTTCAGTTTTGATAAAAAATAATTATTATTAACTAACGGATAGCGGTGAATTATGTTTTTTCATACCATTTTAAGTCACCATTCGTAATATGAATACGTGACTATGCAATATAAAAAACTT